AACAACAGGCTAAAGAGGGAGAAGCCCATGAACCCTGTGAGGAGTGCATGACGGGTGCTCGCGGGATGACAGGGCTCAGGGCCCTCCAGCCACCGCTGCTGCTGCCTGTCCTGCTGGGCGGCCACCCTGTACCGGGGAGGAAGAGCACTCACAGCTGCTGCTGATCTCCTTCAATGGCTTCCGCTGGGACTACGACCAGGATGTGGACACCCCTAACCTGGACTGTCTGACCCAGGAGGGCGTCAAGGCCAAGTACCTCATGCTGCCCTTTGTCACAGTGACCTCCCCATCCCACTTCACCGCCACCCCAGGTAAGCGCCACACTGCCCATTTCACCCGATGCCCATCAAAGCCCCAGTGCCCGTCATTCCCTGGGATAAGAAGCAGAGCTCGGTCAGCTCTAGGGAGGCTGAGGCAGCTCCTGCAGCCCATGGCCATGCCCCAGGAGCAGCACCAGGTCCGAATACACTGAGGTGTGGGGGTGCAGGGGCGCAGGGCCGTCGCTTGGGCCTTGAGACCCAGCCTGCAGACAGGACCAGGACCAGGGATGCAGCCACCTGAGGGTCTCCCTACTCCCAGGCCCTTCCCCACCAGGACCAGTGGTCTTCTGTAAAAGTAAGTAATTAAAAGAATCTGACTTTTGTGCGTGTGTGTGACGGGGTAGCTCAGTGGCATAATCACAGCTCAGTGGAGCCTCAAACTCCTGGTCTCAAGCAGTCCTCCCTACCTCAGCCTCCCCAGTAGCTGGGGATACAGACAAGCCACCATGCCTAATTTTCTCAGTTTTTTAGACATTGGGGAGAGGGTGTCTGACGATGTTGCCCAGGCTGTTTTTGAACTCCTGGCCTCAAGTGATCGTCCCGCCTCAGCCTCCCAAAGTGCTGAGATTAGAGACATGAGCTACCGTGCCTGGCCTGATCCTTTTCTAAAAAGTAAATAAGGCCGGGCACGGTGGCTTACGCCTGTAATCCCAGCACTTTGGGAGGTCAAGGCAGGTGGATCACCTGAGGTCAGGAGTTCAAGACCAGCCTGGCCAACATGGTAAAATGTCGTCTCTCCTAAAAATACAAAAATAAGCCGGGTGGGGTGGCAGACGCCTATAACCCCAGCTACTCGGGAGTCTGAGACAGGAGAATCTCTTGAACCCAGGAGGCAGAAGTTGAAGTGAGCCAAGATTGTGCCATTGCACTCCAGTTTGGGCAACAGAGCAAGATTCCGTCTCAAAAATAATAAAAATAAAAAGGTAAATAATTAAAATCACTTTTAAAGAATTGTATAAAGTTAATAAAACATTGACATTTACAGAGCTCAGTGAGATGAGGTGACTCATACCCTCCAATGGCATCCTGGTTCTCTTACATGAGAATTCAAATGTCTTTCTGCGGCCCAGAAGATTCCACACAGCCTGGCCCCTGGCCCATCGTCTGCCAGCCTCTCTCATCTCTCTCCCTGTCCTTCACTTCCCTCCAGATCAGAAAGGCCTTTTTGCCTGTGCCTTCTGCCCTGCTCCCTCCAGCCCCAGGGTCCTGGCCTGTGCCAGTCCAGTCCCTCCAGCTCACCAGGAGCATGGAGTCCAGTCGAGGAGACACACACCAGACACCCAAACAGGCACACACATCCTGTGACAACTTGGGAGGCACCAAGGAGGAAAAGGAGTTTTCCAGGCATAGACTACAGGGGTAAACTGGCTTCAAACTAGAGAGGGAGACAGGGGCTCTCTGAGCATGGGGCAGTTGAGCTGAAAGAGATCTCAGAGGACCAGAGCGAGGAAAAGTGTTCCAGGCAGAGGGAACAGCAATTGTGAGGTCTCTGAGACAAAGACCTGGTCATTTCAGAATCCCAGTGGCCACTGAAATAGAGGAACTCCAACCCAAAAAGGAGGGAGAGGGGGCTGCTGGGAAGCAAGGGACTCTGTGTAAGAATCAGAATAGCCTCCATTCCTCAAACACAAGCATAGTGCCGGCACTGTGTGAAGTCCTTCACTTTCGTGATCTCTGATACACGGAGATAGCAAAGTCAGTGTCCCATTCTACAGATCGGAAAACTAAGGTTCAGAGATGCTGAACAGGCTGGGTGCAGTGGCTCACGCCTATAATCCCAGCACTTTGGGAGGCCGAGGTGGGCAGATCACCTGAGGTCAGGAGTTCGAGACCAGCCTGGCCAACAAGGCAAAACCCTGTCTCTACTAAAAGTACAAAAATTAGCCGGTTGTGGTAGCGCATGCCTGTAATCCCAGTTACTTGGGAGGCTGAGACAGGAGAACCGCTTGAACCCGGGAGGTGGAGGTTGCGGTGAGACGCGATCGTGCCACTGCACTCCAGCCTGGGTGACAGAGCGAGACTCTGTCTCAAAAGCAGCAAAAACAAAACCATATGCTGAATAACTGACCAGTTGCTCTGCTAGAAAGTGGGGAAGACAGACTTGCAATTGGGGTGTCCCTGGCCACACAGAACTGGTTCTACCTGGTTTTCTGAGCCTGGAAGTCCATCCACAGATCCCCTCATGCAGTGCACCTCAAACAGAGGAAGGTGAGGCAGGGCACAGTGGCTGGCGGCATGAGCCCCACTCCTATCCAGACAGCCGCTTCTTCAGGGGTCTGGGAAGGCTTCTAGAACCTTAGAGATTCCAGGCAAATTACAGGTGCCTTCTTCTGGGGAAAGGGTTTATCACTGTCATCAGACTCTCAAAGGGGTCCTCGAATCAGAAACTTAAAAAATAGGCTGGCTCACACATGCAGTCTCAGCACTCTGGGAAGCTAACGCGGGCCGATCGCCTGAGGTCAGGAGTTCGAGACCAGCCTGGCCAACGTGGTGAAACTCCACCTCTACTAAAAAAAAAAAAAAATACAAAAATTAGCAGAGTGTGGTGGCACACGCCTGTAGTCCCAGCTTCTCAGGAGGCTGAGGCATGAGAATCGCTTGAACCCAGGAGACGGAGGTTGCAGTGAGCCAAGATTGCGCCACTGTACTCCAGCCTAGGCGACAGAGTGAGACTCTATCTCAAAAAAATTTAAAAAATAAAAAAAAAAAACAGAATAGAAACTGAAAAAACAAAGCTGAGCAACCACTCACAAGAAGATTTGCTGAGGTAGATTTTTCTACATGCAAACTCTGAGAGGCAAGTCATCTGGGAGCTCTTAGTGCCAGGAAGCAGGAGCCAAATACCCCTTTTCTGGAGAAAGGGAAGCCACTTGCCAGTGGCGTTAACTTCATGACACTTAAAAGATCTCCTGTGGGCAGATCCTGGATGGATCCCTGGGTGCCGAGAATACGATGGGCACAAACTATCTTAAAGTATGCCTACCTTTTATTTATTCCCAGATTGTGATGAGAAGATAGAAAGAGTGAGAGCCAATGTTTAAAATTACAGAATCACCCCACTGCTCTTCTACATTCTGCCAGGGGGACAGAAATGGGTATGGCTTCAGGCCAGGCGTGGGGGCTCATGCCCGTAATCCCAGCACTTTGGGAGGCCGAGGCAGGCGGATCACCTGAGGGTCAGGAGTTCGTGACCAGCCTGGCCAAGATGGTGAAACCCCATCTCTACTAAAAATACAAACGTAGCTGGGTGTGGTGGCCGGTTCCTACAATCCCAGCTACTTGGGAGGCTGAGGCAGGAGAATCGCTTGAACCCGGGAGAGGTTGCAGTGAGCCGAGATCATGCCATTGCACTCCGGCCTGGGTGACAAGAGCGAAACTCCATCTGGAGGAGAGGAGAGGAGGGGAGGGGAGGGGAGGGGCAAAAATACAAACGTAGCTGGGTGTGGTGGCTGGTTCCTACAATCCCAGCTACTTGGGAGGCTGAGGCAGGAGAATCGCTTGAACCCGGGAGGTTGCAGTGAGCTGAGATCATGCCACTGCACTCCGGCCTGGGTGATGAGAGAGCAAAACTCGCATCTGGAGGAGAGGAGAGGAGGGGAGGAGGAGGAGGGGAGGAGGGGAGAGGAGGGGAGGGAGAGGAGGGGAGGGGAGGGGAGAGGAGAGAGGAGGATAAAGAGGAGGGAGGGAAGGAAAAAGAAATGAAGGAAGGAAGGAGAAAGGAAGAAAAAGAGAAAGAAAGAGAAAGAAAGGAAGAAAGGAAGAAAAGAAAGAAGAAAGAAAGAAAGAAAGAAAGAAAAGAAAGAAAGAAAGAAAGAAAGAAAGAAAGAAAGAAAGAAAGAAAGAAAGAAAGAAAGAAAGAAAGAAAGAAAGAAAGAAAGAAGACTTCAGTGAAGGGTAATCTGGCAAAATCAGATAGTGCACTAGACACAGGGGCTCACATAATCCCAGTGCTTTGGGAAGCCAAGGGGAGAGGATCACTTCAGCCCAGCAGTTTGAGACCAGCCTGGGCAATATCGTGAGACCTCATCTCTACAAAAAATACAAAAATTAGCCGGGCTTAGTGGTGCACATCTGTAGTCCCAGCTACTCTGGAGGCTAAGGTGAGAGAACTGTTTGAGCCTGGGAGGTTGAGGCTGCAGTGAGCTGTGATCACACCACTGCACTCTAGCCTGGGTGACAGTGCAAGATTCTGTCTCAAAAAAAATTTTTTTTAATGCATTAACTTTCTTATTTGGCAATTCCACTTGTAGGACTTTGTCCTGCTGACATATTTGCTCGGTGGTAAGGGATGTACATACAAAGTTATTCACTGCCTAAAAATAACAAACTGTTGTAACAGAAAATCTTCATTCACTCACTGTGGAAACAGCATGTTCCTGTGTGCCTCTTATTTATAACCAGATATACCATTTATTGAGCTGGGAAACATTTACTGTGCTTCAACATTAAAACAGTTTTTTGGCCACATGTGGTGGCTCATGCCTATTATCCCAGCACTTTGGGAGACCAAGGCAGGAGGACTGCTTGAGCCCAGGAGTTCAAGACCAGCCTGGGCAACATAGCAAGACCCCGTCCCTGCAAGAAATTAAAATAAAAAGTTAGCCAGGTGTGGTGGTGCACACCCATGGTTCCAGCTACTCAGGAGGCTGAGGTGGGAGAATCGCTTGAGCCCAGGAGGTCAAGGCTGCAGTGGGTTATGACTGTGCCACTGCCCTCCAACCTGGGTGACGCAGTGAGACCCTGCCCTCCACCCACAAACCAAGAAAAAGGCTTCTTAACCTCAGCTCTATTGACATTTAGGGCAGGATCATTCTGTATTGCATGGGGTTGTTCTGAGCACTGTGGGATGTTATCGGCTTTCCTGTCCTCTACCAACTAGATGGATGCCATTGGCACCCCTTCTCCCATTGTAACAACCAGAAATATCTCCAGACCCTGCCAAGTGCCTGCTGGGGGGCAAATTCACCCTCAGCTGAGAACCAGTGCCTTGAGATAACTATACACCATGTTGAACCCAGTACCTGGCTTCAGAAAATGTCCAGCAGGTTCCACAATCATCAGCTCCTTCAATTCTCTAAACACTGACAGCAAGTCAGGCAGGTTCCTTCCTGACAGGTGAGAAATCAGAGGCTAAGGTCACACAGGTGGGGAGAGGCAGGGCAGGATCCCAACTCAGCCCTGGATGGTTCCAGCAACTGGGTCGCCCATCCCTGCTCCTGCCACCCCCAGCCACCCTCCTCCAGCCTCAGCCTTCATGTGTCTTTGGTTCTCATTAAGTAATCATTACAAACTCCTATGAATTTCACCCAGCTCCCAGCTTCCAGGCAACAGATATAGATCCTGAATATGTTGCTTTACTGAAACAGAGGGCACCCGGGACCCGGCAAACCACTGGCATTTGTCTTCAGTGGCTGGGCTCAAGCCGACCTCTGTCTGACTCCAGTGTGGAAAGGAATTATCCATAATAGAAAAAATAATGGATAAAAATTGGTGCTGCCAGCACCCAAAGACCTCATCAGATTCCAGGGGGTAGGCTGGACAAAAACTATGATAAAGGGGGTTCCCTCAAGCCAGCCACTTATTAACTGCAGTTTAAAACAAGGGGATTGGTGGTGAGGCGGGGTGATCCCTGTTTCACATCTGGGCTGCAGTACCATGCACAGGTCCAGTTAGGGTTCAGGTCCAAGAAGCCATGTTGACAGCCCTTCCAGCTGCCTAGACAGAGTCCTGGGGGTGCCAGAAACTTGGTAATCCCAAACAAGAAACAAAGCCAGCGGAGTCCAATCCCCCCGGCACAAGAGCCCTTCTAGGAGAGACTCCCTGAGACAGAGAGCTGACTTCACCGCCCAGATTCTCCCCGGGGCACATGGCATCTCTGCAAAACCGAGCCGGTTGTACGCACTATGTGCCTGTGGAGGTGCACGGCGCAGACATCTCAGACTTTACCCCGGAGACAGGATCACATGACCCTCATCAGCTTTCCCTGCTGCTGATGAAGAAAAGTCTTCCTGGAGAGTTCTTTGAGAGGGCTGATGCTATATTCCTTCTTTCACTCACGGAATACTGTTTGAGCTTCTACTTTGGTCCAGGCAGTGGGAATGGTGGCCAACGCTAGAACTCATGTGTCTTGGGAATGGTGCCATCTTCCCAGGGCTTGTCCCATGACATGCGGCTCAGGTCCCCTCCACTCTCTGATCCCATAGATCTTTTTGTGAGGATGGCTTCCTTTTCTCTGTAGTTCAGTCCAGGAAGAAGGACAAAAAGTCCCTTTTGGGAGGATGCTGTCACTGCTTCGCTTCCTTTCTCTGACAGCTCAGGGAGTCAGAAGACAAGGGGGATGACATTTGTTGTTGTTTTGTTGTTGTTTTGGAGACAGGGCCTTGCTCTGTTGCCCAGGCTGGAGTTCAGTGGTGTGATCACAGCTCACCACAGCCTTGACCTTCTGGGCTCAAGCAATCCTCCTGCCTCAGCCTCCTGAATAGCTAAGACTACAGGTGTGTACCACCATGCCCAACTAATTTTTAATTTGTTTTTTTAGAAATGGGATCTCTCTATGTTGCTCAGGCTGGTCTCAAACCCCTGGGTTCAAGTGATCCTTCTGCCTTGGCCTCCCAAAGTGTTAGGATTTCAAGTGTGAGCCCCCACACCCAGCCAGGACTGTGTTCTTACTCACCTAGTATCCCCCAAGACTTTCCCAATGCCCCAGCTCCTCCATGGCTCCTGGAAGGGGCTAAGCTTGTGAAGCTCCAGGTCACAGGGAGTCTCTGTTTTCCTCCAGGACATTCTTTCCTAGAAGCAAGGAGTCCAAAGTTGCCAGCAATTTGAATGAGGAAAAGGCTCAGGGAGAGAGGATTTTTAAAAACATTGGCTGTTGACTCCAAATATCCTGCCTCATCATCTCTCCACTCCAGAAACTTTTCGCATGCTTACAAAGGGTGTTTGTTCTTCCTCTAAGTATTTGTCCCCAGCCCCACCTGCAAGAAGGTAGAAGTAGGGCCTCTGCCTGGGATCATAACTCTCAAATACAAGGCAAGACCTGTCTCTCCTCCAACATCCCCAGGACTGAAGGACTGCGCAAGCCTGCATATGGATCGAGCTTCTCCCTCCCTTATCTGAAGGGACTTCCTTCCTTCAAGACACTTTTCTTCTTCCCACCTGGCTCCACGCCCCCACCCAGTCATCCCCCAACCCATCTCTCCCCACCTCCATGCCGCACAAGAGGGCCTTGACCACAGCGCCTGGAAGTTCCTTAAAAATGAATGGTGTGTCGGGCCGGGCGCAGTGGCCCACGCCAGTAACCCCAGCACTTTGGGAGGCCGAGGCAGGTGGATCACTTGAGGTCAGGAGTTTGAGACCAGCCTGGCCAACATGGTGAAACCCCGTCTCTATCAAAAACACAAAAATTGGCTGGGTGTGATGGTGCATGCCTGTAGTCCCAGCTACTTGGGGGGCTGAGGCAAGGGAATCATTTGAACCCAGGAGGCAGAGGTTACAGTGAGGCGAGATTGCGCCACTGCACTCCAGCCTAGGCGATAGAGTGAGACTCTGTCTCAAAAAAAAAAAAAGAAAAAGAAAAAAAAAATCAAATGGTGTGATTAGCACATGGTTAACTTATGATTTTTTAAAAATGGAATGATGTATTCATTGTCTAAGCTGCATAACAAATCAACACAAATTTAGCAGCTTAAAACATCCATCTATTACCTCTCCTTTCCCATGGGTCAGGAGTCTGGGGGTACAGCTTTAGCTGGGTCCTCTGCTCAGGTTCTTACAAGGTTGTGATCAAGGTGTCGGCTGGAATTAGGGTCTCATATGAGGCTTGGGGTCTTCTCCCAACCGCACATGGTTGTTGGCGGAATTTATTTCAACTGTGGAACTCATGCGACTGGCTTCTTCCAAACCAGCCAGGCGCGGGGGCTCACGCCTGTAAACCCAGCACTTTGCGGGGCTGAGGCAGGTGAATCACCTGAGGTCAGGAGTTCCCGACCAGCCTGGCCAACATGGTGAAACCCATCCCTACTAAAAATACAAAAATCAGCCATGCATGGTGGTGCACGCCTATAATCCCAGCTACTCAGAAGGCTAAGACAGGAGAATCGCTTGAACCCAGGAAGCAGAGGTTGCAGTGAGCCAAGATCATGCCACTGCACTCCAGCCTGGGCAACAGAGTGAGACTCCATCTCCGGGGAAAAAAAAAAACAGCAGGAGGGAGTCTCTCTCCTCCAGACCCTCACTGAAGATCTCACCTGAAGGTGTCAGGCCCACCCTGAATCATCTCCCTTTTGATTAACTCGAAGCAAGTGAAGTAGGGGCTTAGTTACGTCTGCAAAATCCCCTCAACTTTTCCATAGGTACAGATTAGAAGCGAGCCAGGGCTCCTGCCCACACTCCAGGGGAGAGGAGATTATACATGGCATTTATCCAGGGCAAGAACCTAGGGGGTCATCTCAGAATTCTGCCTTCCACAAATAGATCCTCGGTGGAGCTCACATGCCTGGGCGAGCACCAGCCTTTGTTTAAAGGCAACAGAGCATGGTGCCCCAGCTCAGATCTCCAGCAAGCCCCGAGAATGATGGTCCAGTCTCTGAGCCCAGGGCCAACGCAGCAGGAGCTTTGGGCGCACATGGGGGCTGGCTTTGAACTAAGTCATCACATCCTATTAGACCCTAGCTGTTGCTTAGGCTAAACTGATGATGATTTAGAAGAAGATGGAGAGAAGAGAAGAGTTAATTTAAAAGTACTTATATTCATTCCCTAGGGCTGCCACAACCAAGTACCACAAGCTGGGTGACTTGAAACAAGAGAAATTGACTGTCTTGTGGCTCCAGTGGCCAGCAGCCTGAAATGGAGGTGCCAGCAGGGCCACACTCCCTCCTGCACTTGGAGGGGAGTCCTGCCTTGCCTCTTCCTAGCTTCCCATGGTCTCCTGGCAGTCTTCGGCATTCCTTGGTTTGCAGACTCATCAGTCCAATCTTCCGTCTGATCCATGGCCTTCTTCTCTGTGTCCCTGTGACTCGGTGTGTCCTCTCCTCTTCTATAAGGACACCAGTCATTCACTTAGGGCCCTCCCTACACCAGGATGACTTCATTCTAATCAACAGCATCTGCAATAACCCTATTTTTTTTTTTTTTTTTTTTTTTTTGAGACAGAGTTTCATTCTTGTTGTCCAGGCTGGAGTGCAATGGCACAATCTCAACTCACTGCAACCTCTGCCTCCCAGGTTCAAGCGGTTGTCCTGCCTCAGCCTCCCGCGTAGCTGGGATTACAGGTATGCACCACCACACCCAGCTAATTTTGTATTTTTAGTAGAGATGGTGTTTCTCTATGTTGGTCAGGCTGGTCTCCAACTCCTGACCTCAGGTAATCCGCCCGTCCTGACCTCCCACAGTGCTGGGATTATAGGCATGAGCCACCATGCCCGGCCTGCAATAACTCTATTTCTATATAAGGTCACATTCTGAGCTACTAGAATTTAGGATTTCAGCATCCTTTGAGGGGGACTCAATTTAACCCATAAGAATACTATGTGGACCACACATGGTGCCTCACACCTGTTATCCCAGCACTTTGGGAGGTTGAGGCAGGAGGATCATTGCTCAGGGCCTGGGGGGATACCAGGTGCATAAGAACACAGCCTTGGCTGGGTGTGGGGGCTCACACCTGTAAGTTTGGGAAGCTAAGGCAGGGCGATTGCTTGAGCCCAGGAGCTTGAGGCCAACCTGGGTGACATAGTGAGATCTCATTTCTTAAAAAAAAAAAATATATATATACACACACACACACACACACACACACACACACACACACATATATATATAAAATTAACTGGGTATCGTGGCACCCGCCTACAGTCCCAGCTACTCAGGAGGCTGAAGCAGGAGGGTCGCTTGAGCCCAGAAGGTCAAAGCTGTGGCGAGCTGTGATTGCACCACTGCACTCCAGCCTGGGCAATAGAGCAAGACCCTGTGTCCAAAAAAAAAAAAAACTCGTCTCCCTTGTCTTCTGATTTCCTGAGCTGTCATAGAAAGGAAGCAAAGCAGTGAAAGCATCCCCCAAAGAGGGACTTTTCAAAACTAGCCTAAGTAACATAGCAAGACTTTGTCTCTAGAAAGTATTTAAATTTGAAGAAAAAAAAAAAAAAAAGAACTATGGCATAGTTGACAGCTACAAGTGTGGCTACATCCAGGTCCTCAAACTATATCATCAGAATGGCCCCTCACCCTCCCGTCGCTTTCCATTTTACTTTAAGTGTGAACATGAAACTCCCAAGGTTGTCTCTCCTTTGGCTCATCTGCTTCTCAGACCCAATCATTGTGGCCAGGGTGGTAGAAGGATACTGACATCCAGGCTGGGACCACATGCCCCAGCCCAAGATCAGGGTGGGGAGTGGCCGGTCCCACACATGCCGTGGGGGACTAGTGACTCCTTGGTGGACAATCGGGGACTGTCGTTGGAGAGGAGCGACAGAAGGAAGGCTGACACACTGCGGTGTATCTCCTGCACCAGCCTGGGCCCTGATGTCTTGAGAATGGGGGTTTGCAGTCTGATGGAGGGCAATCCCAACTCATCTGCGGGGCTGCCCGCAGTACATGGACCCCCACTGGATTTGCTGACCACACATGCAAACAGCCACCACCCAGCCCTGCTCCCTGCAGTCCCCCTGAACCCTGTCAAAATTTCCCTCTGTTCTCAGCAAGATTAAAAGCAATGCTGAGGGTGAGCGGCTCATTCTGCTATTTTAAATCTCTCGATTCCTTCTACTCTCCAGAACTCTGTACTTATTGCTCCATCACTGGTAATGACAATGAACATTTTCACAATCTCGGTTTTTATTGCAAAGTGACGAAGGACCAGTTAGAATAAGTTATGCTACAGAAACTAAAGAAATCCCGTCAAACAAATGGTGTGTAATAGAAAGTCTTAGGGCAGCCGTGTATAGTTCTCCCCCAATGAATCAATTGAAAATGAGCAGCTCTTACCGCCATGTTCCGGGCAGAAGCTATCAAAAACGTAAGCCATGGTATTATCATCTGATGATTTTACCTCCGTCAAATGGATATGGCCCAGGGGTGAAAAGTGGATGCTCTATAACTAGATGATGTTCAAGAGTTATAAAAATGAGGTCCTCTCTGTTCAACATTTCTCCTTTCTTGAAAGGACACTCAATGTCATGCTCCTGGCTTCTAATGGCCAGAAATAAAGTTCCTCCCAGTTCCAGAGCACCCCAGGGCAACCCCAAAACCAGAGCAACTACTTATAGCCATGTAGACTATGTACTGTGCAATTCCTGGGGTGGCATTTTCATAAATATGTGGGTGGCGCCCCCTGGAGGTGTGCAATGCACAACGTGCAGAAATGGTACGTCATCGTATCCCAAAGTCCACCAAGAAGAGGTGAACAAAATTCCCATCGATGTTGTCATCAGTCATGAGTCTGCCTTTTCTTCATGGGACGGGGAAAAAACAATTTGACCAAATGTGCTTCGATGATCTCTAAGATGGAATCAGGGTCTCTCATTTTCAGCACTATTGACATTTGGGGCTGGATCATTATTTTGTCTTAGTGGGGGTTGTCCGGAGCATTGTAGGATGTTCAGCAGCAGCCCTGGCCTCTACCCACTAGATGCCAGTAGCACCACCTCCTCCAGCTGTAACAACCAAAATTGTCTCCAGACATGGCCACATGTTCTCTGGGGAGCAAAATCACCCCCTGGTTGAGAAGCCCTCAAGTAAAGACATGATACGCAGATCACAGGTAAGTAAGAGAGCCTAAGGGCCACACATGTGATGCTGCACCCATGACAAAGACAGAGTCTTACAGAGGTGAGAGAGGTGGAGAGAGAGAAAGGAAATGGAGTTCCTGCTGCCGAGAGCAACAGATGCCAACTAGATGTTGTTGGAAACTGAGTTAAAAGATGCTAAGAAGACATCAGCTCCCATCCTGCCCTCCAGGGACGACGCTGCCGAAAAAGGCCTGGAGATCAGCAAAGCCCCCAACACAGGTGCACTGAGCAAAGAAACCACAGATTGAGACAAAAAAGACATTCCCTCGAAGACTAGTCATTTCCAAGAGGGGAGAAAAAGTGGAGTCACCAAAAACAATTGAGGCTGGGTACAGCGACTCACACCTGTGATCCCAGCACTTTGGGAATGCTCCCAGGCGCAGACGGGAGGATTCCTTGAGCTCATGAGTTCAAGACCAGCCTGGGCGATGTAGCAAGACCTTGCCTCTACAAAAAGTGAAAAAAATTAGCCAGGCGTAGTGATACATGCCTGTGGTCTCAGCTACTCGGGAGGCTCAGGTGGGAGGATCGCTTGAGCCCAGGAGGTAGAGGCTGCAGTGAGCTGGTATCACACCCACTGCACTGCAGCCTGGGCTATAGCATGAGATCCTGTTTCAAAACAGAAAAAAAATTAAAGAAAATTAAGGCCAGGCACGTTGGCTCATGCCTGTAATCCCAGCACTTTGGGAGGCCAAGATGGGCAGATCACGAGGTCAGGAGATTGAGACCATCCTGGCTAACATGGTGAAACCCCGTCTCTACTAAAAATATAAAACATTAGCCGGACATGGTGGTGGGAGCCTATAGTCCCAACTACTCTGGAGGCTGAGGCGGAAGAATGGTGTGAACTCAGGAGGCGGAGCTTGCAGTGACCGAGATCACACCACTGCACTTCAGCCTGGGTGACAGACAGAGACTCTGTCTCAAAAAAAAAAAAAAGAAAAGAAAAAAATTTCTTGAGACCAAGTCTCACTCTGTCACCCAGGCTGGAGTGTAATGGTGCAATCTCAGCTGACTGTAACCTCCGCCTCCTGGGTTCAAATGATTCTCATACCTCAACCTCATGCCTCAACATGACTACAGGCTTGTTGTCACCATGCCTGGCTAATTTTTGCATTTTTTAGTAGAAACGGGGTTTCGCCATGTTGTCCAGGATGGTCTTGAACTCCTAGGCTCAAGCAATCTACCCACCTCGGCCTCCCAAAATGCTGAGATTACAGGCATGAGCCACCATGCCCAACCTCTAACTTTCCATTATGGAAATTTCCCACATGCACAAAAAGCAGGGAGAGAATTGTACCATGAACCGCCATGCACCCATCATCCCACTGCAAGAACTTGTCAACATGTCGCCAATCTCATTCCAGTTCCCACTTTTCTTTTCCTTCTTGCTATTTTAGAATATTTTAAAGCAAATTCCAGACATGTCATTTCACCCACATCCATGACATACCAGGGTGCATTCTTGATGTAAGGGTTTTGTTTTGTTTTATAACCCCCATGCCATTGCCACAGTGAATAGGTTTAACATGAAGAAACTAAGATTCTTGCGGGTGGAGAAAAGATCTAATTACCACCTCAAAGCCTCTCCTACTAGCACTTCTAAGATCTGAACATATATGCAAATCACCTGGGCATCTTGTTAAAATGCAGATTGTGGCCCAGCAAGTCCTCCCGGGTGAGCCCGGAAAGTCTTCAATTCCAAAAGCTCCCAGGTGATGCAATGCTGCGGATCGATGGATCACGCAAGAGGAAGGGTCGGCCCAATACCCACAGCAACTGGATGCAAAGTCCTGACTGTTCTTGATTACAGGGCCTTCAGTGAATGTGGAAGCTGGGAATCACTTGGGGAAGAAGGGAGGTTTTTCGTACCAGCTCCAGGCCCTGTAGAACTTGCCAGGAAATAACAGACACAAGGTCAGCAAAGTCCAACCAACAGCACGAGCGCATTCATATTCCACAACCCCTACAGCAAAGAACCATGAAGTGGGTGACTTCAAACAATGTCTGGGCCGGGTGCTGTGGCTCACACCTAAATAATCTCAGCACTTTGGGAGGCTGAGGTGGGTGGATCACTTGAGGCCAGGGATTCGAGACCAGCCTGGCCAATACGGCTAAACCTCGTCTCTACTAAAAATACAAAAATTGGCCGTGCATGGTGGCAGGCAACTGTAGTCCCAGCTACTTGGGAGGCTGAGGCAAGAGAATGGCTTGAGCCCAGGAGGTGGAGGTTGCAGTGAACTGAGCTCGTGCCACTGCACTCCAGACTGGGCAACATAGCAAGGCTCTATCTTAAAAAAAAAAAAAAAAAGTCTGGAGGCCAGAAGTCCAAAATCAATCAAATGTCAGCAGGACCATGCTCCTTCAGAGTTCTAGGGGAGAATCCATTCCTGGCCTCTTCCAGCTTGTAGAGGCTACTAGAATTCCTCAACTTGTGGCCGCGTGATCCAATCTCGGCAGTCACCTTGCCATCTCCTCTTCCGTCTGGGTCTCCTCCCCTGGAGGAAGAGTGCCCTTTTTTTTTCTTTTTTTTTGAGACAGAGTTTCACTCATTGCCCAGGCTGGAGTGCAATGGCATGACCTCGGCTCACTGCAGCCTCTTCCTGGGTTCAAGCAACTGTCCTGCCTCAGCCTCCCGAGTAGCTGGAATTGCAGGCATGTGCCACCATGCCCCGCTAATTTTGTATTTTTAGTAGAGATGGAGTTTCTCCATGTTGGCCAGGCTGGTCTCGAACTCCTGACCTGAGGTGATCCACCCGCCTTGGCCTCCCAAAGTGCTGGGATTACAGGCGTGAGCCACTGAGCCCAGACAAGAATGTCCTCTTGTAAGGACACTTGTCTTTAGATTTACAGCCTACTTAAAATACTCCAGGATAATCTCATCTCAAGACCCTTAATTACATCTGCAAAGACCCTTTTTCCAAATAATGCCACATCCACAGATTCTAGGCACAAGGATCTGAATATATCTTGTGCGAAGCCACCATTCAGCTCACTACACTAGAAATAGGAAAAACAACGAAGTAACACAAGGCACAGAAGAAAGAACAGATGCAGCTTGTGTGGCAGTGGCCATCAAGGCAGGCTGGGGTAAAACTGTGTTAACAGAACCCCCAGATGGAACTCAAGTGCAGCCGTCTGCTCCCAGCTACTCAGAGAAGGTTTCTGTTTTTGACAGCAGAGTAAGAGAAGAGGTGGGAAGAGAGATAGCCCATTCTCTGTTGGCCTAATTCCTAAGGAATCGTGCCTCTGCCTTCAGGCCATTCTCAAGTCTTATTCAAGGATAAAATGATTTATTGATGGCCATAATTAAAAAGCAATGCCAACAGAAGCAGCGTCAGCATTTTTCATTTGTACTTACACATGAGCAAGAGCAGTTTAGGGAAACGGGTGCCTTCAGGTTCTAGTTTATCCGTGTAGAAAAGGGCTGCCTTCTTGGAATGCTAGTCCTGGGAAGAAGCCTTGTTTCTATAGCAGGAGTTGATACAGTTTTAAATTCCGATTGGTACAAGGAGCTACCTGTCCTCGTTTTAAGCAATTCTGGTTTGTTCTGGGTTCACTGGGTAACCAATGAGTAGAACTCTGGGGAAGAGGATTTGGGGCGAGCGTAGTTTTCATCCCCAGAGTGAGCTATTTTTCCCTCAGTGTCTAGACCGCGATTCAGACGGGGCTTCTGTGCTCAAGATGGGAGTGCTGGGCTGATTTAAGGCGGGTAATTGACTTGAGTTGGTGGCTACTTTTATACTAGCTGGTTAACAAGCTATTTTCTTCATTAGTTTCGGGCACGTGAGCTTAATGAAGCCTTGGCCCTCCCAAATTACAAGGAAAATATATAGCTTATATGGTAAGTTAGTTCAAAGGAGTTAGTGAACGAACACAGTAGGGGCACAAATTATTGTTAAAGAATTGTTAAAGACATGAATGCATAAAAGTGTATCTATGTCCAAATGAACTCTCTGCAATTATACTGTTCCACCTGAAAATTAGTAGATAGAAATTCAGCAAATGCTTGGACAGGGGATACTCTCAGAAGTATTCTGACTAAGTAGCATGGTTTCTTTTCATATCACTGAAGTAATCTTTTCCCAAATTCACTCTGGAATAAATCTTATGATACCTACTTGTTCTGAGTGTACTTAACCACCAGCAAATAAGGTGGGGGCAGTGGTGAGGGGAGCTGTTGAATTAAATTAAACATTTGTTGAATACCTACTGAGGGTAAAGCCCTGTGCTTTGTGCCAGGGAGATTCCAGAATAAATGAGGCAGAGACCTACTCTCAAGAAGCTTGCAAACTAATGGAGAAAACACATTTGCAGACAATTACTTGCAGTATAAGAAAAAATGGGGCCGGGTACAGTGACTCACACCTGTAATCCCAGCACTTTGGGAGGCTGACGTAGGTGGATCACTTGAGGTCAAGAGTTCAAGACCAGCCTGGCCAACATGGCAAAACTCTGTCTCTACTAAAAATACAAAAAAAAAAAAAAAAAAAATTAGCCAAGCTTGATGGTGTGCACCTGCAATCCCAGCTACTTGGGAGGCTGAGGCACAAGAATCACTTAAACCCAGGAGGTGGAGACTATAGTGAGCCGTGATCCCACCACTGCACTTCAGCCTAGGCGACAGAGTGCGACTCTGTCAAAAAAAGGAAATAAGATTGGTGCTGAATGGGAAATCTAAGCAGGATGGAATGGCAGGAGAGCGCCCATTTGCCCAGCTCCAATGCAACTTTTCACAGCCATGACAATATTGCAGGGACACCCATTCCTCATGGAATCTGAAGCCCCATGAAGGCTTGAGTGTGGAGACTGGTTCAGTCTTGACTTTAAGATCAGGGGATACAAGGAATGATTTGCATCTATCCCAGGCCAATAGTCCACCCAAAACTCTAGGTCTGAGATGATGAGAAAAAGCAAGTCATGAATCATGTCAGCCATTTCATTATCATCATCATCACCACCATCAAAAACAAAAGACAGACCTATCACCATCTTGTGTGCCTGGCTCTCGTGTTAGTTCAAAATATAGAAGTAGGCCGGGCGCGGTGGCTCAAGCCTGTAATCCCAGCACTTTGGGAGGCAGAGACGGGCAGATCACAAGGTCAGGAGATCAAGACCAACCTGGCCAACACAGTGAAACCCCGTGTCTACTAAAAAAAAATACAAAAAACTAGCCGGGCGAGGTGGTGTGCACCTGTAGTCCCAGCTACTCGGGAGGCTGAGGCAGGAGAATGGCATAAACCCGGGAGGCGGAGCTTGCAGTGAGCTGAGATCCGGCCACTGCACTCCAGCCTGGGTGACAGAGTGAGACTCCGTCTCAAAAAAAAAAAAATATATATATATATATATACACACACACACACACACACACACACATATATAGAAGTAAATTCTATGACCAGCAAACAAGCACCAAAATAGCTCTTGTCACTCTTGTCTGCTGCCATGTAAGACACGCCTTTTGCCTTCTGCCATGATTTTGAGGCTTCTTTGGCCATATGGAACGGTGAGCCCAGTAAACCTCTTTTTCTTTATAAATTACCCAGTCTTGAGTAACAAAACAGTGGTTTGTCCACAACATCAATGAACGATGCTATCTCTTGTTTCCAAGTGCGTATCATTTGACAGGTTTGGATAAACAACAACCTAAAATAAATAAGCACTAAGCAAACTCAGGGCCACATAACCCTTGTGGTGAGGTAACTGACAATGGGTACAACTGGGACAGTTTAGTGTTAAATCACTTCTATCTACATGTGCCCAAGCAGTGAGATACTTGGTTTTAATCCTAAAAAATCACGGTGCACATTTATTCCTGCCTTCCAAACGGGCTCTAACGTCACCTCCTCAGGGAAGCCCTCTTTTCTGTGCTTCTACTCTGCTTTTTTTCAGCATTTAGCAGAGCGTCAGTCATCATCCATACCTGGGAACAATGATTGCAAGAAACAGAAACCCATTTGCATGAGCTCGAGGAAAAGGAGCACAGCTTATCTCTAACAGGCAAACTCATGGGCACGGGAAACAAATGAGAGGCCATGAGAGAATGAAAACTGCAGTTACAGAAACCAAAATTCCTCTTTCTGGCTCTCAGAAGCCCATGGTCTTTTTTTTTTTTTTTTTTTTTTTTTTTTTTTTTTTTTTTTTTTGTGCTCTCAGTCATGGTCTTTTTTTTTTTTTTTTTTTTTTTTTTTGAGACGGAGTCTCGCCTGTCGCCCAGGCTGGAGTGCAGTGGCGCAATCTCGGCTCACTGCAAGCTCCACCTCGCGGGTTCACGCCATTCTCCTGCCTCAGCCTCCCGAGGAGCTAGGACTACAGGCGCCCGCCACCACGTCCAGCTAATTTTTTGTATTTTTAGTAGAGACGGGGTTCCACCGTGTTAGCCAGGATGGTCTCGATCTCCTGACCTCGTGATCTACCCACCTCGGCCTCCCAAAGTGTTGGGATTACAGGCATGAGCCACCGCGCCAGGCCGCCATGGTCTTTCTTATCAGCCCTGTGGACTTTCTTATCTCTGCTTCTCTCACTCACAACCAATTTTCCTTTTTTGCTGGTGGCCCATCATGGCAGCCAGCAGAGCCCACCACCACCTGATCAGTTAGTTACTGGATGTCTTGATAGAAGGAGATGGAGGAAGAAAGAGATGGAGAGAGAGGGAGGGAGGGAGGAACAGAGGGAGAGAAATTGGTATTCTGGCTGTCCAGTTGAGTGTAGGGAGGGGGAGTACCATGGTACAAATATGGCACCAAGACCTGCTTTCCAGAGTGGCCAGTAAGTAGGGAAATTGAGGGAAGGTACCTGCAAACACAGCAGACATCTCAGAACATGCTCTCTGTTCTTAGTTCTCTCTCCTGCCTTCTCCTAAATTGTAAATATTACAACACAATCTAGGATAGTACCTGGCTCAAAATATTTGAGAAAGAGAAAAAGGAGGGGATTGGATCAAACTCTGGACTTCATGGTTTCCTAAATTCACTCTGCAAGTTTTTGGGTTTTTTGTTTGTTTGTTTTTTCAGATGGAGTCTCCCTCTGCTGCCCAGGCTGGA